GATTACTGCGTGAACGTACACGAAGTCCTCCGGAGTCAATGAGAACTGCATTATCATATATCATCAAAGGCTGCGAAATCGCGTTAAACAGGGCAGCCTTACTTGAACAGGAAAATCATGATTTACGGGCTGCAGACGAACACCAGACTAAGAAGAGGAAACGAAGTAATCGCCAATTGGCAGGCCTCGAAGGAGCTACAGTTCATGAAGCTATACAGCTTTTTCGCCGGGCTCGTGAGGAAGATGAAGCCTTGGGAATCCAACGGGCTGATTCTGCGGCCGGCGAGGAACAGCCTCGCCGGCGCGCGCCACCTCGCTGTTCTTCGTGTAATAAAGTTGGTCATATACGGACATGGTGTCCAGCAAGAGTAAAACACCAAGAAGAGGCAATTTGAACGGTGTAAAAAGGTTGATATTTGACTTCAAATTTGTATATAAAGCAGAATTACGAGTTGGGCGTTCCACTCGCTTGCGCGTTCCGCTCGCTTACCGATTACGTTAAAGGATGATATTAGTCAAGGATATCCCCAGATGGCTGTTGGGGGAGGCAAGATGTTAGGTAATGAATGGAGCGCAGCAGCAATAGACCCATTCTGCAGTGGAGGAGTTACATCAATAGCGATTTAAGTGCCTACTCGGAGTACACTACGGTACGGTACGGTTCGTCGTGAGTCACGGACGCACGGCTCAGGGACGGAGGGGAGTCTGCCGTGGAAGAAGAGATACCATCGGAGGCAATTCCAATTATTCACGGTGAATAACAGCCATGATAAATCCTGACCCAAGAAACCTTACTACTGAGTAGGAAAAAAAAAACTCGTCAGTCCGATAGCGGGAGGCAATAGCCCGCTTCCGATTGGCGAGGAACCCAAGGATGAGACGGTGAAAGGGAAAAAGACAGGAAAAGGGAAGGCACGTGCCCAGCCCGACCGGGCCGGCGGTCGCTCTTTCTTTTAATGCCTTCCCCTTCGCTCCCTTCTTTCTTTCTCCCTCCTCTCCCTGTCTCTGACTCACTCAATCTTCCCCCATCTTCATCAATCCCATCCTATATCTCCGTGCATCCACACCCTTCAATGTCTGTCTAATCAGACTCATCTTCTACTTCAATCTAATTAAAAGACTGGTAACAGCACCGTCGCGCTTATGCGTTTGGCACCTTCCGTCTTCACCTCTCAGGTATGCCCCGCCACCACTACCGTCACTATGAACTCGAGCATCAAGAATCTAACCTCGATCCCAACAGGACTACATCTCGGATCACCTCTGGAAAGCTTCCGGAAACTTTTGAATAGCCACCACACATATCTGCCACTTCTTCACTTCCCGTCACATCTAAATCATATCACATCATGTTCGCTCGACTCTTCAAGGCCATGCCCGCCCGGGCCCAGGCCTTCCCTTCCGTGAATGCCTCCGTCCAGTCCCGCTTCATGGCCACCGTTCGTCAGGGACGTCCGGCCACTGAACGCGCTACTTTCACGATCCGAGATGGTCCGATCTTCCACGGCAAGTCCTTCGGAGCCCGCTCCAACATCTCGGGTGAAGCCGTCTTCACCACCTCCCTCGTCGGATACCCCGAGTCCTTGACCGACCCCTCCTACCGTGGTCAAATCCTGGTCTTCACCCAGCCCTTGATCGGTAACTACGGTGTCCCCTCCGCTGAGCGGGATGAGCACGGTCTGCTCAAGTACTTCGAGTCCCCCAACCTCCAGGCCGCCGGTGTCGTCGTCGCCGACGTCGCCGAGCAGTACAGCCACTGGACTGCCGTCCAGAGTCTGGGCGAGTGGTGTGCCCGCGAGGGTGTCCCCGCCATCTCGGGTGTCGACACTCGCGCCATTGTCACCTACCTCCGTGAGCAGGGTTCCTCCCTCGCTCGTATCACCGTCGGAGAGGAGTATGACGCCGATCAGGATGAGGCCTTCGTCGACCCTGAGCAGATCCACTTGGTTCGCCAGGTCAGCACCAAGGCCCCCTTCCACGTCAGTGCCGCCAACTCCCAATGCCACGTTGCTGTCATCGACTGCGGTGTCAAGGAGAACATCCTGCGCAGCCTGGTCAGCCGTGGAGCCAGCATCACTGTCTTCCCCTTCGACTACCCCATCCACAAGGTCGCTCACCACTTCGATGGTGTCTTTATCTCCAACGGTCCCGGTGACCCCACTCACTGCCAGGACACCGTCTACAACCTTCGCCGCTTGATGGAGACCTCCCAGGTTCCCATCTTCGGTATCTGCTTGGGCCACCAGCTTCTGGCTTTGGCCAACGGTGCCCGGACCGTCAAGCTCAAGTATGGTAACCGTGCTCACAACATCCCTGCCCTGGATCTGAGCACTGGCCGCTGCCACATCACCAGTCAGAACCACGGTTACGCTGTGGATGCCGATACCCTTCCTTCTGACTGGAAGCCCTACTTTGTCAACCTGAACGACTCTAGCAATGAGGGTATGATCCACAAGACCCGTCCCATTTTCAGCACCCAGTTCCACCCGGAGGCTAAGGGTGGTCCTCTGGACTCCTCTTACCTCTTCGACATCTACTTGGACAGCGTGGTCAAGTACAAGAACAGCCAGTTGGCTTTCCAGCCTGGCCGTGAGACCGCTCCCAGCCCTCTCTTGGTTGACTTGTTGGCCAAGGAGCGTGTCGGTGTGCAGCCTACCATCGGCATGCAGAACGTGGCTGCCGCTGCCGCTGCCGCCGCTGCTGCTGCTTAAGAGATTCGTCGAATTGGGACTGGAGTTCATGGTTTGGGTACGGTTGGATCATATGCGGTTTCTTCTTCTGTCAAAATGATTCGGTTCATAATTTGGGTACATTTTGAGTTTAATGTAGTAAATACATTTTCCTTTTAACTTTTCAAGCATAGTCCTTCCATTCGTCTCCGTAGACTTGATTTCATTAGTCGTAGCGCAGATGATGTCCTGGTGCCAGTCTGACCGGGTACAGCCCTCTGAGTGCCAATTCGCCATAATGCTGATAACCCCTTCATTAAGTGGGTTCTGACCAAGTGATATTTTCTAACCTTTGAAATCACTAAGTCATTATTTCGCCACGATCGAAACCACGTCCTCATCCGACACCACATGCCCCAACCCCACCCGCTGAGGGATGTGTCTAGCGCTGGCACCCCACACCATTGCATACTTGAACGTCTCCTTCAGCGTCCGATGGATACTATCACACACGTCCTCGATCGTCGAATTGTGCCGGACAATCAGCGCCTCGGAGAAATCGGGCTCCTCTCCTTTCCTATAGCAGACATTAGCTTCAGATGGCCTTACCGAGGGAGTAAATAGATCCCGATGTCGTGGTAGAAGGGAGGGGGGGCCAGGGCCAAACGTACCGCTTCGTATAGACGCGAATCAAGCGGAGCTCCTTCCAGATGCGCTCGACGACGTCTTCGACGCCGAGGTCGAGCTCACAACTCATGACGGCGGTGTAGGGTTCGCGGGCGAGTTGGTCGAGGAAGTCGAGGCTGACGCCGTCGATTTTGTTGTAGACATAGAGACTATATCGTTTTATTAGATGATACTCTACTATCCTTGGGGCGGGCTGGAATGGTGATGGGAAGGCGAGAGCGGTGGATAGGGTAGGGGATCAAAGATACATACCATCTGATGTATTTGCGGTGGTCTTTCATGATCACGTCGATGAAGTCGTCAATTGTCGCTGGTGGTGGGGTGTGAGTGTTAGTTTCGGGGGGTTACTTTGACTTTGTGGGCCGGCAAAGGGAGGGGCGCCTAAACAAGATGTTGGGGGATGGGGACATACCGTATTCGTCGCGGACGAGGACTTCGCAGTTCAGCATCTTGTAGTCACGGAGAACGTTGAAGATCATCTTCTCGTCGAGGTACTTGGGGGGCGTTTGGAAGGTGATCTTCACACCGCCGGCCTTCTTCTGTTTGAGGTAGATGTTCCTGTGGTTTGGGTTAGATCTGAGCCAAGGATAAAGGACGGAGTCAAGACCGCTAGGGAACGTACGGGGGTTCCTTGTTGAGACGAATCCCAACAGCGTCCAATTCCGCCTCGAGCAGGGCTCGTTGCTCCGCTCGTTTCGTGGCATCCAGGACCATCAGGACCAGGTCGCTTGTCTATACAGCATAGTCAAAGATCGGATCGTCAGTATCTATCCCAACCATATGCCCGAAGAACTGCACACTGGGACTGAAAAAGGGAAGGGAGGAAGTCTGCTGCCCTACCTTAGCCGCGGAGATGACCTGCCGTCCTCGACCCTTTCCTTCCGCAGCCCCCTCGATGATACCGGGCAGATCCAGGATCTGGATTTCCGCGCCGCCGTACTCCAAGACACCGGGGATGGCGGTGAGCGTGGTGAAGGCGTACGCGGCGGTCTCACTCTTGGTCTTGGTGATCTTGCTGAGGAAGGTGGATTTACCGACGGAGGGGAAGCCGACGAGCGCGACGCGCGCATCGCCGCTCTTGCTGACGTCGAACCCCGTGCCACCGCCGCCGGAGCCCCCCGTGGGTTCCAGGAGTTGAGCCCTCAGACGGGCGAGTTTACTGTACAGGGTTGGTCAGTTATCATCATCCTTGTATCTTTGCGGTGGGGACGTCTGATGTTGATAGAAAGGGGAATTGGATAACGTGACCTGACCACTTACCCTTTCAACAGACCCAGATGGTACTCTGACATGTAGCATGTTAGGATCGAATCACTTGATCTTCATTGCATGCAATGCAATCAATCTTCCGGGGAAAGAATTCACCCACCTGTGGCCTTGTTCTCTATTTGCTCGGGTTAGCATTGCATTATGGTATGGCGGGGCTATCATCGGAGCAGCAGCGGCGGCGGCGGCGGCGGGCAAAAAACAGTTAACTTACTCTGCGTCCTGCGCATCTCATCTTCAATCCTGCAACGAGACAAAAGATGCCGTCAGAATTGATAGTCCCTCTAGATTTGGTGGTATCCGGGACAAGAAGAACATACTCCTTAATCTTCTCCGTAATGTTCACCATCGTGCCGGTCGAGAGCCCCGCGGACTCGTTGCTTTCTTTGATATGGATAATACAAAATCGGTTTTCGCACCGGAGAACAGTGTTAAGAATCTCTGGGAATCAGATGGATCCAAACAAGCTGATAGATTCCTAGCAAGCCTGATAGGACAAAAGTTCCCTCGACAGGCAGAGCGGTCTTTTGGTTGCGGGGGGAAGGGGGGGAAACAATAAACCCCATCTTCAAAATCGATGCGACGCCCGCCGCGGCGGCGACGGACCCCCCGGCTTATGTAATTTGATATCGCGGCGACTGCGATTGCATCTCCGCCCCGCTCGCTCGCTCTCTCCGAGGATTTCTTTCTTGTCGTTCTCATCACTTCCCTTTTCGTGGATATTTGCGTTACTTGGCGGCAGCAACAGCAGCAGCAACAACCATGGCGTCAGACTCGACTGTACATGGCGCTTTTCCTCTCGGCAACCGACTAATCTGAACAGTCACCATTCCTCGTCCCCCTGCAGGAACAAGCATCCGCGCACGTGCAAGACAACTTCCAACGAACCAGTGAACCTCCCTTTCTCCGTCGGAACTGCAGCCCTCTCGCCTCGCACCGTATTCAATGTCCATTGACGAGGATGGACAGGCCTCTTGTTTCATCTACAATGAAGAATAGGACTGGACCAAGTTGCACTGGAGCTGTGATCAACAAACAGCGGGGTCGGATCAGTGGTAGTCGATGGCTCGGGGCTTGACCCGTTCGCTGGAGAAGCCAATCCCTGGACGAGGCGTAATTCCCGGATTAAACGGCTGGAGGGGCCTGGATTACAATCTACTTGATGTTTGAGGCTGCGGCGGCGGTATCGGTGTCTCGGTCGAGGTCCAACAAGTGGATTTGAGCCTGCTTGTTGCGGCGCTCAAGAGATGGCGGGGGCAGCGGCACGGTTCAGAATGCCATAGCTGGGGTATCGTACTAAGGGTAGGAAGGACAGTTTCAGAGATCGCGAGCAACGAGCCTCCTCACTTGATATACACGCCAGAGCCAGGTACTGTCTTACGCTTCTGTTAGGGCCGGTTTGCCTTGTCTTAATCATAAGGTAGGTTCAAAGTCGGGGTATAATTCGGTTTGCTAGAAATGCGACGAAGTAGAGATATCTAGCGTAAAATCCCAGCCATCACAAAAATAAACAAAATTCCACATATTCAAGTTCACGTCAATCCACATTCCACCCTTCACGCTCAGCAGCCGCTTGCTAGATCGTAATATATACAGGACCCCGTCCGGTAGTTGTAAATAAATGCGTTCGTATAGAGCTCCGCACCATCGCCGGTCTGTGCCTCGTTCGCAAGATCAGACAGCAACTCGTGCACTTGATTGAGATATTTGCGCTCGGTCAGCGGGGCGTTTTGGATGACCGCTCGCCAACTTTCGGGGTCGGAAAGACGAGTGTTCCTGATCGCTTCGAGCAGATCGTCGCGCGTATCGATGGCAGCGACCGGGCCATTCAATGCATCCTCGACGACCTCCCGGGATCGAAAAAGGGCTGGCGAGTTGTCAGTACCTAGACTCGAGATGGTGAGGGTGACAGAATCAGAAACCTACCAGACTCGACAATGTTCCTGCGGTTCGACTTCTTGCTCCGGTGCTGCGGTATCAGGATGCGCACATCGCTGGCCCGATCACCGTTGATTGTGCTGGTTTCTGCTTGGCTTAGCAGGCGAGACTGTCGCTGAGGCTCTGCCGTGCCTTCACGTTGGTTGCGCGCACGCATCTCGTTGCGGATCCAGGGTACCAGCTCGGGGCTTCGAATATCGAGCTCTTCTCGTGGAGAAAAACTCTTTACTTTGAAGCCACGCTCTTGGCTGTCCTGCTTGGCTATGACTATCCAGCTATGGCTGTCTTCCTTGTATTTGTTGAGGAGTTCCTCCAGAGATGAAGCATCCACAGCGAGCTCGGCGCTGATGTCGTTGGCCCACATATCCTGGACGATCTTAATCCCCATTGTGCGTAGCACAGTGGGGTCAAAACTCGCAACAAGAACGTCGCACTGTATACTATTAGCACGGTGGAAGAAGCCGATCATTCTACTGCAGACTTACCCTTCTCGTTTTCCAAAATGCCCCAGTTTCCGCCTCAGGGTGCTTGACGGATGTCTTGGCAGCAATTCCTGTTCCCAGATATTCGAGCATTGCTGAGCTTAGGCGATCCCAGCTCAGATTGAATCCCACAGCGTGTGTCTGGGAGCGGTTTGCCAGCATTTTTGGACGGAACTCTTGAACCAAAGAATCATACCGTCCGCCGGCAGCAAAGACGTCACGCCGCTTACTGTCAAAGACGCACTGAAACAGAATGCTCCCTCGGAAGAATTTGTCATTCAAGCTTCCAAGAGGATTCACATATACTTTGCGCTTCACGTCGAACCCCTTCAAGTAAACAGCTAGTAGATTGATACGAGCGAAAATAGGCGCCAGTCGCTCGGCGAAACGAGTGCCTTCCATGATTGCCCGTAACCGCTTCTGTGTTTGCTTAGGAGAGTCTGGCGTACGTTAGCTATGAGTATGATCTACAGGGAAGGCAAACCAACCTCGGAAGTCGAAGCGAGCAAGGTCGTCCAATGAGGTGGAAGCAACACCGATGGAGGGCGACCGAAGCTCGCTCCTGATCTTTTGCATGGTCCATTTTCCCACGTTTAGCCTGCTGATCACCTCCTTTACGCGAGGAATCTGGGAAGGAGTGATCCGGCAAAACTCCATGATAAGCTGAAGCAGGTCGGAGTGGTTGACCAGGAAACACATGGGAGATGACCTCAATGGCGGAAATTCGTCAATGATCTCATCAAGAACTTTGATGACTTCTGCCTCTTTCAGCGCCAAATCCAAAGTGTTGTGCGACACGATATCGAAGTCAACCTCTTTGTGGGTTCTAGGCTCCCCTCCATGAGGCATGTCTCTATATACAGTGCCAAAAGCATATGTCTTCTCCAGCGAAGGGTCTTGTCGCGGGATGGCACGTGCGTTCGGCAGAGTAAGATCGAATGGCAATTGAAGCAGATTTCCGGAGGAATCCAGCAACCTCACGGCGCCGTTATTGTAGTGCTGAGACCTGGGGAAGAGCATTTGCCTCGTTGTCTCCACGGCTCCGTGCCGACGAAAAATCGACGTCAATCTTTCTTTGACCAACCCTCGAACCAGAAGCTCGTGGGCTGCTGGTGTGCCGCGTGAGTCCATGTCCCAGGCGATGTCTTCGTACTTCTTAGGAGACTGGGAGAATATTCCAGAAAGAATCTTCTTGTAATCAGGAGAATTGGGATCAGACAGCAAGTGCATGATGGCCCTTCGGAACGTCTCTTCTTCCACTTGGAGAGGGATCTGACCACTATGCAAAAGGTCTGAAGCCGAAGGGCGTTGGCTTGGATCATGGTTCAATAATGACCTTATAATCCGGCCTTGAAGCACCTTCTCAGAATACTGGAACGTCGATGGCAGCGTAAAATGCTGTTCTCTTATTGCCCGTAACGTCTGGTCACGTTCCATGCCCGTTGGGAGAGGATGGCACATCTCGAAAAAGATCACCCCGAGGGAATACATCTTCATCCAGTCATTAGCAAAGATGACTAGTGCTGTGGTCCTTGGTTAAACTTACATCCACCTTCTCGTTATAGTTTTCTGCTAGGCCGGACTTCATCTCGGGCGCGACATAGTAGGTTGTGCCCAGACTCCGAGTGAAATCACCTTCAAAATCAGCCGTTGTAGAGGAGCGCACTGCGGTTGTGAATTGGCCACTGGTAGCCAAGCCAAAATCTCCAATGCGTGGATTGTTGGCAACATCAATGAAGATATTGTCCGGTTTAAGATCGCGATGAATGATGCCATGACCATGAATGTGGCTAAGGCCATCGAGAATCTGCCGGAACAGGCGCCAGGACCGATCGACATCGTCATACAGACCATTTCGGATTAAATCGCGAAGAGTCTTTCAGGTAATTAGCTTGTAGGGAAAACATAAAGTAGAGCAAGGAAGACAAATCTTACATGTTTCTCACAGTACTCCATCTGGATGTAAAGCGTCGTATGTACCGGTCTGCCCTGCGAACCTGATCCAATGCGACTCAACTCTTGACCTGTACCACTTTCGGTCTCGTAGGTCTCCGAGGTATCTCCTCCCCTTCTGTGGGAAAGCGTGCCATCATCGTCATCATCACTGTCTGAGCCAAATTGGATTTTGGGGTAGCCGCTGGAGCTGATAAAGTCCAAGCCACCCGTGCTGTAGTCGTATGCACGAGAGTCCCGACTGGCAAAGACGTCGCTATCGGTCGAGGAAAGAGCGTCTTCATCTACATAGTCATAGTCTTCTTCGATCCACGCGGTATAGTAGCGTACTACGTACGGGTGGTTAAGACGGGACAGTAGCATGATCTCCGACAGCGTATCTTTCAACGCAGTGGTAGACTTTTGGGATATTTTCTTCACTGCGTAGAAACGACCATCAAGCTTATTTCGAGCCTTCACAACCTGGCCAAATCCACCTTTTCCCAGTCTTCCGGCTTCATCGAAGTCCTGGTTATAGCGCGAAAACGCCGGCAGTGCTCCAAGAGAATCAAGACGCGGACGCCTCGGAAGAGAAATGGAATTTGCAGCACTTGTTCGAGCAATCAAAGGCGCATCGACGCGGAAGAACTCAGACGGTTGAAGCTGAAAGGCTGTGGGCCGCTTCTTGGGGTCTGGACGAAAGAACTCGTGTAGTAGGTCCTGCAGCGGGGACGTCAAACCCAAAGTGCCCATCATCGCATTGGCCGACGTATACCGCTGGAGGACATCTAATCCGAATCCCATCTGGAGAAACACAATACCCAAATCCCATACATCAGTTTTCATGGTCGGTGGAGCTCCCTCGTGGGCCAGCTCAGGCGGCATCCAAAATGGCGACTTAGATATAGCGAGCGACCGTTTTCCTGCCGTTGAAACAGGCAAAGCTTCTTCGATGCTAGCCTGCAGTTTGACGATGGTTCCTCCCGTGGGTGTTCTG